TAATTTTGACATTAAAGACCACAGTCAGAGGATAAGGCGCAGGTAAATTTATTCAAACAGAATAAACAGTTGGTCGGTCCACAAAAGTTACACAGTAACAGTAGCCTATAATAACAAATAAGTAAATATAAACGAAGGACATTGGAAAAATAAAGTGCGAAAATCACACAATCACATAAAATAATAATGTCCAATCCCTTTGTGCTGTCTTTATAATAATGCCGTTGTGGACGTGGCAAAAAAAAAAAAAAAACTTAAGCTGTTATAGCTGTTCTAAAAGCCTCTCGTAGGCTTATTGCTTGAATAAATAAATAAAAATAATAATAAATATAGGCTAAACGAAGAACAATGGAAAAATAAAGTGCAAAAATCACATAAAATAATAAAGTCCCTTTGCGCTGTCTTTAACTGAAAAACACAGTGTTTTACATGTTTTTGGAGAGGAAAACGAGCATGTTAACCTTATCTGGCTTAAGCAAAGTGCACATATGGTTAACAATGTTACCAGCCGTGCTAAACACCCTCTCTGATGGCGTGCTTGTTGCCGGTGTGCACAGATATTTCCGTGCCATGTTGGACATGTGTGGGCTCGCAAAGCACGCTGCGTTTTTTTGCTGCATTCATGTGGTGTCGGGAGATCCGAGTTGCCAAGTTGTTTTTCTGACATGAGGTGGCGTTCATGTGAATTATCCCATTCTGAAAGTCATTTTTTGATTCTTTCCGACATCACATGAATGCAACATCCCCCCTCTTTTTTTTTTTTCTCCCCACACACACAACTGCCGAATATATCGGCAACCGCCGGTTGATGGGCTGACGGTGGCTGGTTGGAAATTTTTAACGTAGCGCCCAACCCTAGTGCTTGTTCCTCTCCCGCTAGTTATTTTCCATCTTCCACTTGTTGTTGTTTTTTATTCTTTTCTTGTCGTTGCTGTTAGCTTCTTCCTCCTTTTGTCATAGTTGTTGCTTCTTCTGCTTCATCCTCTCGTCTTTTTAATTGTTGTGTCGTCCTTTTCTCCCTCTTGTCCCTCGTGCTTCTTTCTCTTGTCATCGTTGTTGTTGCCTTTTTCTATCTCCCTCTTGTCATTTTTTGTTTCTTCTCTCTCTCTCTTGTCGTTGCTGTTTTGTCCTTCTCTTGTCATTGTTGTTGTCGTTGCTTCATCTTCCTCCTCTTGTCGTTGTCAGCGACAAGAGGAGGAAGATGTTGTTGTTTGTGTAGCTCTGTTGCTGCTAAACGTTCCACGGAGTATGGTGGGTTTATCAGAGATTCTTTAGCTGAAAACAGCTGTCTGCTGCTGCTGTTGGAAACAAAGTTGATAAGAGCAGTAAGACTGAACAAAACCATTGAGCTCAACAACATTAAAACACTTAGTAGAGCTGAAGGAAACAGCAGAGTTAGGCTGTAGTTCTCTGTGACTTCTTTCACTTCATCATATGATCCATTGTTAACATATGAAATTGGATCAGAGCAGCTTTAAAATCACAATTTGAGATGTTATCAAAATCCTGCATCCTTGTACCTGCTAAATGAAGAGTGAAGAGTACGGCCTACCAGAGGCTTTTAGTTCCCTCAGCATTGTGCTGAAGTATTTATGACAAACACACTAATGTCCACAGATGATTGAGGTAATTACTTATTCATGCTATGCTTAATGAATAGCGCACCTTGAACACAGCGTATCCTGGACATGATATTTATTGAAGGTGGTGCAATTGAACATTTCCATTAGGACAAACAAAGATTACTGTCTTATTTGCTCGTTCATATGTTCATGTGTTTGTTATAGTCATTGACATCTGTGTGTGTATTTGCATGATTGTGTGCTTTTCCATTTCGTCTGATTCTGTGTGTTTGTTTAATGTTTAATAGTCTTTTGTGCCTGAGCCACTTAGCTAAACCAACATTGCCATAATGATAAGCCTCTCCCTGTCTCGCCTTTTGCCAGCCTTGTGTGTGTGTGTGTGTGTGTGTGTGTGTGTGTGTATTAATGATCCCCTTGTTAAAGTTTAATGTCTCTGTTCCACTGTTGTCAGGGAGATTTACCACTGAGCCCTATGGGAAATGTCTGCCCCACTGCTCCTCGCCTGATGGCAAACACACCCCTCACACACACACACACACACACACACACACACACACACTGGGTTGCACTTGAGCATCTGCATGCACAGGATGCATAAATGGCTGTATAAGTCACGTCACCTCTTGTATATCAGTTTCATTACCGCAAGTGAGTCAATGAAGACGGCAAGTGTCCTCGCTCTCTGGAGGGAAAATGTGTGTCTGTGTGTGTGTGTGCACCTGCTGTACTTCACACATGGCTTACTCCAGCACTAGGTCAAGCACACTGTTGTCTCCTCCTTCCTGAGTGTCTTTGTGCTTGAACCTCTCCATCCACAGACGGATGCAGTGTATTTTTCTTATACTGCCAGTTCTCTCTCCTGCATCAGCTCATTGTGACATAGCAGAAACAAAATATTTGGACTTGGACTGTGTGCTGAACGCAGTTTTCAGACCATCATGTCCAAAATCAAAGTAAATAATGTAGTTTTTCTGTCTCACAGTTGACGGTATTTTTTAACAGATGATCTCAGAGCTCTTATTAGGGACTGAAACCCAGTATTAACCAGGCCCTGGAGCTAAATTATCAAAGACTGATAGGCTCTGACATTATTGGTTCTTTTATTGGTACTTTATAAGGTTTTGGTGTAATTTACTAACATGCTGAAGCCAGGGGCTGACCTCCAAACAGACACACACAAGACACAGGCTGAAATCACCCAACATTAATGCAGAATGGCTGCGGGGGAAACAAAAGAAGATAACACGAAAATTATTCGAGTTGACGACTGTTGCTCTCATTACTGCCAGTAAGTGCAATAAACACTAGCAAGTTAAACTCCAATACTTTATTTTTACCTGTGATCACCAAGCATAAACATGTAGACATGCAGAATGTGATATGATTTAATCTGCTCTGTCCGCAGTCTGTCCTCCACCATCACTAACATTATGTGTTACACAAGGACAGTGCACTAGCTCTGCTAATAGGGGTGGTAGTATCTCAATCCACAGGGAACTCGGGGGTCGTTGGCTCAAGTCCCCGTACAGACCAAGTATGGGGTGTGGACTGGTAGCTGGAGAGGTGCCAGTTCTCCTCCTGGGCACTGGTGTCCTTGAGCAAGGCACCCAACACCCCCTCACCTATAGATCCTGTTAGTGTATGCGTGTGTATTTCAGGCTTGTGTGTGTATGACAACAGAGTAAAAAAATTGAATTTCCCCTCTGGGATTAATAAAGTATATCATCTTCTTCTTCTAATGGCAAATTGTCACAGATAAGCTCAAATGAAATCATTCTGTATGAAGTCTTTCTATTGGGTAAATTCTTTTGAACTTGGCTGCTGGCTGAAACAAACAGCCCCTCCTGTCTTGACCAGTGGAACCTACTGGCGGTGGGAATGACTGATACTGATCGATTAAACCTTACCTTTACCTTACTTCGATAACAGAGGAAAACATCATTAACACAGACACATTACTACAGACTGTCAGAGTATTATCTGATTACCTGTATACTGTCATGCCAGTGTGTACACTGAGTGAACAGAGTGTAATCATTTCTACTGTCATGGCTACACTGTAAGAAATGTGGGGCTCAGAATGTTGTTGGACCAGATTTGTCTGTTCAGTACCAATTAGCAACTATTCATTACTTTTTTGAGAGTTTGAACACGGTTTGGCAGGATGTTCACGTAATATAGTCCACAAGCCAAGTTAGCGCTCCAAGCTAATGCGTGCAAACGACAGATCACAAATGTGTAACAGCATTTTTCGTCAACACTAGTTATCGAACAAAAGCCAGTGACTGTATTGTATTAAGTTGCTCTGAGCTGTAAAGTCACCACTTCCAAGCAGAGGAGAGAAGATAATGTTATCTTGGAGCCTGACCAGGCAGAGCCTCTTTTCCTCAGGGTAGCTGCCTCCATCTTACTCAGACTCACCCTGGGTCTAGTTGCGCAGCTGCCTGTACTGGAGAGCAGCATGACAGAGAGGTGCATCTCACTCTGCAGCAACATCTGGGAACTACAACGACCTTTTGGCCCTCAACAATGATCTTTTCTGAACCATAACCAATAAGTTTTGTTGCCGAAATCTAACAACCAACCCCTTTTGTGTCAAGATCTGCCGACCACCTGTGTCAAGACACAACACAAAAGGCGGTGCTGGGGTCTCCTGCCCCGTCAAAATATGCAGAGTAGGATAAGATCACATAGAAGCAGGTAAAAAGCTGCATAAAGCTGATGGGAGCTGCAGAGTTTCTGACTGACACCTCACTTCACACATAGTCATTTGATTGTTAACATGAAAAGAAGGATGCATGCGGCTTTAACAAATGAGGACAACTAAGGGCAGCGGCTTGGTGTTTACACAGAGGTGTAATTTTGTATCTACAGCAGCGTTGCAACATAATAAATGCTGAAAGGAAAGGATGAAGAGATCAAGGTGTTTGAAATGGAAATTTGACTTGATAGAAGCGGGGAATAAACAGTGTGGCATCATGGGTAGGCAGGCTCTGATTAGAGAAGAGATTAAAGCTCATGCATTTTTATTTCCTGGATACTGTACCTCCTAATAGATGCTGCCTCCTTTGTAGACCTTTACAGCTTTATGCCATAGTGCTACGCGCGTACAACACGTGTGCTCATTTACAATACAAACACACACAGATTCGAACAAAGAAGGGCAAATATAACCTGACATACAGTGTACTGAACATTACAGCACAATGACACGTCACAAGCAGCTAGCCCACATACTTGCCCTCAATAACGGTGTGTGCCACCAGCATGAATAATGGACGATAATGTTGGGCTCCTCACTCTTCAATGAATAATATATATACTGTATATATCCATTTCTGCCTCTGTCTCTTACTCTTTCTTTGTTCGTGTGTTTCTTAGAGATGCCACAGAGGGACAGGAGGGAAGACCCGTCTGGTGAAGAGTGAATGAAAAAAAGGACGGAGTAAAGAAAAGCACACGGACAACAAGAGGCAAAGAGGGAGAGAAACAATTCCAAGGAGGGAGGGGACGATGTGCAGAGCTCCATGAAAGAGGAGAGACGGAGCTGAGAATTGATAGAAACAGGAAGGGAGGGGAAAAACAAAAACACACACAAAGTCCTGGAAGAGACAGACGGGACTGAAAGTGAAAGAGAGGAAGCCACACAGGACAAAGACGCTCTGAGCTTTGAGGAGGTAGGAAGGGAAAGCGAGGGACTGGTTGAGGGAGGGAAGAAACATCTGGATGGTCTCCACAGCGACGGCCAGCAGGTTACCCCCCCTCCGAAGATGGCCTCCAACTTCAACGACATCGTCAAGCAGGGCTATGTACGCATGCGCAGCCGCAAGCTGGGGGTGAGTGTGTGTTAATGTGTGTGTGTGTGTGTTTCCTATTCATTCATGCTTTATCACAGCCATCACAAAAGGAAACATTCAATTAACTATTTCTGAAAATCTGTTTTTTAAAAACTCCTTTGATCCGTGTCTACTCCTGCGAGTGATGAAGGCCGTTCATTTGTCATTTGAAATTCTTTGTAGACGAGTGCGAGTCGAAGGCAAACCTTATTGACATCTGTTGTATTTATATTTGAGCCAATATCCTCAATACAAACTCCTGATATTTCAAAATACTCATACACCACAATATTCCAGGGTATTTTTGCAATAACGTTATTCTTGACCATATGACAACTGAAAAAAATTCATTATTAATTTAAGAAAATAGAATTGCAACAGAATAAGTGATATAGTTTTAGTTTGCTTCAAATATTCAGTAAAAACAAAATAAAATTGATCTCTCATTTCTTTAGTTTGTCAACAACAACAGTAACTCAGAGTGAGATTCAGATTCTGTTACAATATTAATAGTTCAACAAAATAAAATCCACCACAAATTACACATTTAAACAGCTCCTAAATACAAAAATGTCCCCTGGGATCTATATATATAACTCAACAGGTGATTTCCTTCTTTTAGTAAAATCCTAAATGATTGAGTTGTTTTTTTTCCACCTGGACCCTTATGCTCTGCCATTTCTCCTCTAATCATCACGCTGTAACCTGTGACAGGCTGTTATGATACCACAACTATCACACAGTCACATATATGGAGTTTTTTGTCAAGCCTCGAGCATCACGTAGGTTTACATTATTAAAGGTTTATGACAAAATCACTTGATGACACCGAGTCCCGTGTGTGCACAGCAAGAGAGGAGAGGGAGAGACGCTGTGCTGCTGCCAGAGGAGCCGCTGAATGAGTTCCCTCTGAGCGGTAAGTCACTAAAAGAGTCTGAGAAGTCCGGGGCTGTTCATAAAACATTCAGGACGCCACAGTTTATTCCACACGACTGAAGCTGCTCCTCTTTTTGGAACCATTGCGGAGTATGTAATAATTTCGCTTTCAGCCATGCTTCTTGTTGCCGTGGCTAACAGTATGACGTCAATGTGTCAACAAGTGGAAATGTTGCGAGAATCATGATATGAATTTTTCATATGATGTTAAAAATTATACTGGTATTTATCGTGAAGGAGGTGATATGGCACACCCCTGCTGCCAATGTAGAGGCTTTTAAAAAGTTCATCCAAATGACAAAAATCAAGTATTTCCTCACTCACTTCTAGTTGTATATAATTCATGTGGGTAGTGTTGTGTTTATTTATCTAGGTTTTGACAAATAAAACCAAAAATATGACTTTGTATTTTGGTACTCTTGCCAGTACAATCCAGCCAGTCTTTGAAACAAGTATATTTATATAGGATGTTTTAGTTGGCTTATGAATACTAAGGTTTTGATATTAAGTTTGTTCCTAGATGACCTTCCAGTGTAGATGCTGTATGACCTCTTGTTGTACAGATTGAAAGTCTCCACTATCTGTTGTGCCTGTGGCTGGGGCTGCATGGGGAATGCTAATTTCACTGAGCATGAGTCACATTCAGACGGCGTAGGCCGTGGAATTCAACTTTGCATGACTCATATTATGGAAACGAACACAAATCAATTTGAGCCAGGTTCTGTTCAACAGCTCACTTCAAATAATGGTCTCCTCTGCTATCGCTGCCTGCACAGCCGAGCGAACGGCGCTGTTTAGCTCTCTGAGGGGACTGATGGCATTCCCATTCCAGCATGAACTCACTGCTTAGGATATAACCAAAATAAAGTTTCTTTTCCTGAAGTTTGAGCTCAGTTAATGGCTTATGGATAGAAAAAATGTGGCCTGTGGGAAATAATGTTCCTGCTTTGTAGTGCCTGGCCTACAGTGACTATTCTGTTTATTCTTAAAGTGCTCTGTGTACAAATGTGTCTAAGAGAAGACTGTGTGTTTTTATCCCTGCTTTTACTGGCTGATCCAAACCATGATACAAGAAGGTGTGTGTGTGTGTGTGTGTGTGTGTGTGTGTGTACACCACCACAGCGCATATAAAAACTCAACAACATGCCTTTCAAGATTGACTTGAGTTTTGAAATAGAACCCACGTTAGCCACGTTAGCACTGTTAGCAGCATGGCTCATAGGATGGCAGTGATAGTTGATCAGTGTGCCCATCACTTTGATCCAGAGGGATGTCTTAGCAGCTAATGGATGGATTGCCTTGATGTCGTCTCACGAAAATAACAATAAGCCGTCTCACGTCGGCTTATTGTTAAATGGTGCCCAGCGGTGTCAGGGGGAATTGTTGGCGTGACAACAATGAAAGTTAAGACGGTGGAAGTCCGAGTAGGGCGGGCAGGAGGGTCGGCGGATGATTCCAGTAACCACTGACTTTTACCAGGAAGGTCGGTGTTCACTTCCCATAAGATTGTAAAGCCAAACCCTGTTCTTTTGTCCTAAACCAAACCATGTGGCAGTACGTAATGACCAGTGTTTGTTGTTGAAGGAATAAAATGTCAGTTCATGGTGTTTCACCAACGTAGTGTGTTTATTTTGAAAGAGGCTCAAATCTCCCTCCCCCAGGGAAATCGGTTAGCGAGCAAGCGACGCGACCAACGCACTTCCTGTCATAGTCAATACATTAAACGCAAGAGATGCGGGCGACACTTGAAATGCAATACATCACTCGCCCAATAGTGGGTAGCAGAGTCACTGGTACATTCCAGCTAGCTAGCACTGCTATTTTATTAGAGTGCAGGGAACTAGAACTGTCATATAAATGTGGTTGTGCCCGTACAAGTTTGCAAATTTCTCCTCCTCGCCCGCCATATTTCATACCTGCTTCTTCTATGAATAACACAAAGTGTTTGATTTCAAGTACGACGCTTGCATTATCACCCCCACTGGCAACGCATGGTATTACATGCGTCGCGTATTAAAAAAATGGACAACACATTTTGAGACACAAGCACGCATCATGGCGGCCAATGCGTCTCGATGTGTCCCAATGTGTTCGCGTCTGTGTGCCTTTGCGTCGACTATGAAACGGCCCTTAGAGTGGACACAGTGTCAGACTGAAGATGGAAATGCAGCATAAGGAGTTGACAGTTTGGTGTGACATCAGGCAAGCTGTGTGTGTAATCCTGCGTAATATTATCTTGCCGACATCAGCCTCACTGTTTACTGTACCCTACTGACTTTGGTGATACCCTGACTGTTCATCTCTTAGTGCCACCGTGAGGTTTAAATCAGTGTGTAACGAAGAGCCCTTCGTTACTAGTGACTGATGGCTTTGGCCTTGTAAATATTGCACAACTGGGTCTGTGTATGAATATCACTTTTAAACAAACAACTTAATTAGGCACTTTAATAATGGCACATGGCACTTTCATGGTGATAGTTGCACTTTATTAGCATGATTTGCACAGAGCAGTTTGCACATTGCATATTTGCACATGAGCTTTATTGAATATGTGATGCGGATGAACATTTCAAACCATGGTGAAATTGATGAGTAGTGATTGGTGACAGGTGTTGTCTTCTGCCAGGTGCGGTTGTGGATGATCTGCTTCACCTGAGGAGGGGAGGGAGTTAGAGTAGACAATGCTGTGTGTGTACCTACAAGGTTCATAATTGATAGACAACAGTTAAAATTAAGTGCTGTTGAGTTTTGGTTCATCAGACATAACATAAATGTGCTTTAATACTGCAACGTGAAAGTGTTCATTAGTGTGTTACAGTTGTGGCCTGTGTTTGAGTTGTTTGTGTAGATTCTTACCTGTCCTTCCTGTGTCTTCTCCAGGGTGTTCGGACAAAAGAGTCCCCGGGGGTACGAACACCAACTTAAAGGTTCCGGGAGAGACTAAGTGATGGGATAGGAAGAGGGGAGTTGGGTAGTTGGTGTATATATGTATATTTATTGTAGTGGGTTTGTGTTTATTCTGGGGGGGTAAATAGCAGTACAGTAGTCATGGTAAATATGCAGCCATGCCTGTACCGCTGTATGTGTTTTTTTTTCTGGTTTGGTGAATAAACACCCATGATATGGTGCACCGTACAGTTGCCTTTTGACTGTTGTCTTACTGCATCATCCAGCCGCTATGGTCATTCTAACACAGTGACTTTGTGTTAAATGTCTCCCTAACTATTGGATAGACTGGATATGTGACATTTGGTAGAAACATGCATGTTCTCCTCAGGGTGGATTGTAAAATGTCCTGACTTTTCATGTAGCACCATCATCAGGTCAGCATTTCAGTTAATGCAATACTTTGACTTATGACTTAAAAACAAATGACATTCGTTGACTCGCTAACTCTTATTTGTGAGAGTCTGAAAGTTGCTTAAAGAGCTGAAACAAAAAGAGAAATGTCACCTCTGCTTTGAGGCAACGTTGCAGACCACAGCCGGGAGCTTTGTTCTTCATGAAGTCATGGACTGCTTATCCAGCTCTGGGACACACTGCTGTGCTGCATCCCTGCGCTTGTGAGGCCACAGTCCTACTTTCTGAGTTCCCCTGTGTCTCCTCGTACTGTGTGTCCTCAACTGGCCCAGACTTTGGATCAGAAACTGTCTGGCTGTAATGATGAAAATGATTGTTTTCATTTCTCCATCACGCCATCGAGGGACATGTCAAGGTATAAGAATCTGTCTGCTGTTCTTTATTCGCACATTTTTATCTGGCATCTCAGTTAATCAAACTAGAGCCCATGAAATGTGCTACACGCGCAGGCAACATATGAGCATGAAGGTGGTATTGATCAGCCTGACCAGCGTCATTTTAAATAATCCACAAAAAAACTATTATGAACTCATTCAGATCATTTGAGCTGGTTGTAGAATTAACTGGACCAAAGCAAATTTAGCTTTCACAGTCTCTCCCTTCCCCTCTTTGGGAATCTTTCCGTGTTTTGTTTTGAAAACTAACTGCTCTCGTTTTCTGTCCCGGTCTTATTTTTCCTCTCTTTCTCACACTGTCCTCGTCAT